TTCACCAGGGACAGCATGTTCAGCTAATGCTCCCAAAACAAGCACCTAAAACTTATTTCTGAGCCCAAACGTGGAAGACTGTTCCTGCAAAAACCACTTACATGGCTCCTCCTTCCTGGCACTTGCAGCCAGACTACTGCCCTCCTGTCACCAAGTCCTCCGGCGGCTGCCACTCCTGACGCGGTTCCCTGGAAGCGCTGGGCCTCCACGGGACTGTCCTGCAGGCGGGCGAGGCGAGCAGGCTGCCCGGGGCGGGGAGGGGGCCCTCCCAGGGGAAGCCTGTGGCTCCGCAGCCCCTGGTTCCTCTGCCTCCCCCTCACACTTCCAGCCCGCCAGGGTCCTCGCCTTGCTGCTTGGATCTCCAAAGCAAGACTGATCTTTAGAAACAGTGAGAGCATTTACACGGATTAGGATCATTCTGCAGAGTGGGAAAGTGTGGCGAGAAGGAAGGAGAGAGACAACCAATATGAGAAGAATTCTACCTCAGCCTTTTTACGGAGCAGCAAAAAATTAAATAACATCCTCAAAGTAAGAGATACTTTTATCAGTGTATTCAACAACTGGTGGTTCAATCATAGAAATTTAATGACACAATTTGTACGGAATTGAAAAAAGCACGCATGCCGTTTCTGGTTGTTAACCCCCTGTTCTCTTTGGTTATCTATAAAAAACTTTAAAATCTATACATAGAAGTAACCTTTAGAAATGGTATTTTTTAAATAAGGAAAAGTCAGCAAATTGGTTTCTCTCCTCTACTAATTGTGTGCTTACTTTATTTTTATTTCCTATACACAAAATCTTTTCCTTCTAGTGCCCTTAAAGATACACTTTATTTCTTTTGCATCTCTATTTGAGGTTTATATTTCTTAATCAGTCTAATCAAACATTTCACCACTAATACTAAGAAGTAAACACTGAATGACTGTCCTCCCCTTAATCTCAATATATTCCATTTTTAGGAAATTGTCGAGAAAGAAATCAGGTTATTTGGAGGTAAATCCTCTATTTTCATTGATATTCAGGATGTGAATGATGACTTCTTTTATTGCTTTCTACATATCAATTCCCTTTCCTTCAGAGAATTATATGCAGTAAAGCTCCTCTGGGAGCTTCTGAGGCCCAGGCCTTTAAGTACCATGAGATATTGAAATTACAGGAGGACAACCATGTGGGAGCCAGATTATAGCAAAAAATTAGAATGGAATCCCTAAGACAAACCCAATTTAGGGACTATAGACCCTACCTATGAAGTATCAGCCTCAAATTCAACAAAAGGGAGGTATGGAAAGGTTATCTATCAGTACCGGCCTGAGAATGTATCTGTACAGTTGTCCCTCAAAGCTCTTTGCACCACCCTTTGAAATACTGATGTTATAATATGTTTGCTATTAAGTCCTCTGACATTAAAAAAAAATATATTAAATATATCCATGTAGTTTCCCCCTGATAACCAGCTTCTGGTTTAAAACACTATCTTTGTTTTCTCAATCAACACATATAGAGCAATAGTCCTAAGGTGAACCTACCTGGAAAACCAAAATCCAGATATTAAGGAAATAATTTAATATACTAATTCTGAATCATTCTTAGCATGACAATAGTTTTCTTTCTCAATTTACTTTTATATCATTTAATTTCTTTTTTGTCTCTAATAGTGCCACCACTTTAAGAACCAAATTACACATAACCATGGGAGAACTTCTTACTGTTTCTGTTTTGAATTTCTTCTTCAAAACTCTTTCAAGAAGTATTTAGTGAGGCCATATGGCACAAGGCTAACATGGGCTTTAGATTCAGACAGATTTAGACTCTAATTCCAGTTCTACCTTTAACATAACTTCAGGAATCCTCTCTAAGTTCCACTTTCTTCATCTGTTTAATAAGGAGGGTAATACCTACCCGCAAGGCAGCAAAATCAAAATGAGGCAATGTATCTGAAGCATACTGTACAGAGCCAGGGACATAGTAATTACTCAGTAAATGGTAGCTATGATTTTATACATATGTAAACACTAAAAATCTGGAAAATAAAAATATCCTAATTCTATCACCCTAGTGACACAAATATGTATATCTCTGTAATTTATGTCCACATAAAAAAACTTACTTTTATATTATAAATTTAATATACAGTTTTGTCCTTTCTTACATTATAATCACTTTTCCATGTTACCATGTAGTATTCACAATTGCCTTCTTAAATTTCTGCCAAACATTTGGGTTTTTTTTTTTAATATTACAAATAATGCTACAATAACATTTGCATGAATATCGCTTTTCTTTCTGTGGAATTCTTTCCTTAGGGTGAATTACTAGCAAAGTTGATCATTAGAGTAACCATAAACTCTTTTGTGACTTAGTTTTACCAAACACTTTCCCACAAGTTTAGACAATTTGTGGCGCCTCCACCCATGGGCATAAACACTATCAAGTCCTGTCCACCCTCCGGTATTAATACCACCTCCTTTCATTTACGGACTATTGACCGTGCGCCAAGCGCTGGTCTCAGTGCTTCCCATGTCTGCCATCCTCACAGCAAATCTCTGAATAACTCTGAAGCAGTTGCCCTCTTTTTGCAGATAAGGAAGTAAAGGTTCAGAAAGCTTAAAAGCCACATCCAGTGTCGCATGGCAGCTAAGCGGTAGGACCTGGGCTCGCACTCGGGCCCTGCCCAGTGCCACAGCGCTCTCACCCACTTGGCTGTGCTCCTGCTTCATTCTTTTTTACCCCCAGGGAACCAGAGGTGGGAAAAGCTATTTGCACGGATATTTTCATACGCAGTTCTTGATTACTAGCAAAGTTGATCATTTCTACATGTGTGTTAAACTGCATATTCTTCTAGTGTTACTTGTTTACATTATTTATCGACTTCTGTAAAGAGGCGGGCGAGTTTGTTCCCTCTATATTTTCCTGATCAGGTGTCAGCACAGCCTTCCCGCGAGAGGCCCAGGCCCTGAGCTGTCCGTCTGTAAGAGGTGACCCTTCTCTTTCTCCTTCCTGCCCAATATGGGCTAAATACAAGCATGTTCTAGAAAGTTATGTGCATATCTTTTTAATGTTACTCACTTACATGATACAGCCCCTGGCTGATTTGGAATACCCTATGTCGGTAGTGAAACTGAAGACTCAATGTACCCTGAGGGGTGACAAGCTAAAATGATTTCTTAACTGAACCAATTTACCAAGGTCTTTGAGAATTAATCTCATTTGCCTCAGCCCCGCTCCCTCCCACCCTTTCTCTTTCCATCTACAAATTTCTCTTCCGCTAACTAAGATAAAGACTGGAATATGCAGATTTTTTAATGAATTTGCAATCCAAACAACTTGAGCACCATTCAGAGCTTATCTCCCATAATGTATAAAAACATCATCAAAACTTAACCTATGCTTTACTACGCAAAGCCAGATTTATCTAATACTAAATATAAACTTTAGTAATCCTTTTTAAAATATGCTCCATTACCTGCATTATGTCTTGCAATATATCCAAGTGCCCAGGCTGCAGCCTCTTTGACTCCAGGGTCAAAATCCTCCAAGCATATCACCAGCGTGTCCAGCGCTCCACAATCAACTATGGCCTGAGCTAGTTGAGGGGAATGTTTAGCAACTGCCCGTAACACAAAGGCAGCTGCTTTCTTGTAGAAACGCTTCAAGGGTAAAACAGATAAAACTCAAAGTGAGTTAAGCACTTATATAACGAAAAGTTAAAATAGACCAAAACTAACGTAAAAATAACATTAATATAATAAAACTCAACAGCTTTTAAATATGAAAGAAAAACATCCTGCAACGTTATTTTGATTTTTTTATGTTCCCCCATTGCTTTCGTTTAGTAGCTAAACGAAAACAGTGTCTTATATTACATTTCAAGTGTTGTATTCTAAAACATGCATTTATAAAATAAAATATTTCCTGCAAATTGTATTTCCTACAAATTCATTATTTTATTTAACGAGATTTTTATGTATCTGCATTACACTAAAGGTCTTTGTTTGACCCATGGGAACTCTTGGATTGTTTGTATGTGCAACTAAACTGTCAACTCACAAATCTGTTTCCTTTACTTGCCCTCAGTCTCTAAGCCTGGTAGGCCTTTCATGACCTCAGCTAATCTTTCTGGTGTGCTAAGTTATCATGAAATAACAACCATGTTTCGAGATGCACTTATCAATCATTGAATCAATGTAAAGGCAAAACATTCATGATACATTTTANGTTTTGAGATGCACTTATCAATCATTGAATCAATGTAAAGGCAAAACATTCATGATACATTTTAAAACTTTTCCTGGTACATAAACTAGCCAAACAATGGGACATGTTATTTATTCCTTTTTAGAAATTATTTTTTAAAAAAGGTAAATGGAAATGACTGAACATTATGTGAATGCTTCATATTTATAATATTTTCTACATATAAATTTTGCCATATTAAGAAATAAAATAAAAATAAAAGATCATTTTCTTCATATAGCTAAGAAAATTAAATGTATAGGAAGTATTTAGCTGTAATAGTGTGGTTTTATGGTTCACATAATGACACAGTAATAGTCTCCTAAATCTTCCTTTTATTAACAGAACCCAGGTAATCCCCTATTTTAGATTGTTCCTAAACAGTCTAAAGTGACTGGGTGTCATAGCATCTGTTTTGAATGCATTCTATTTACTTAGGCTAAAATATTAAGGTATAAAAAAAATTTATGAGAGAAAATACAAGTATATTTTTAACATTATATCTCAAAACCTGGTATATACTGATGATGTAAGAAATATGCTATTTAGTAATGATGTTTTGATTTTATATAGTTTAGTTTCTTAAAGGTAACATGTAGATATTAAAATATTTGTTGTAAAGTCTAATTTTATATGTCAGAAACCAAATACCTACTAATTTATAGTAAAAATTAGAACAGAGTTTTAAAGTAGCTTTCCACAGATTTTCTTTTTTAAAAAAATATGTTTTTATTGACTTTAGAGAGAAAGAGTAAGAGAGTGAGAGAGAGAGAGAGAGAGAGAGAGAGAGAGAGAGAGAAACAATGGTTGCCTCCCACACACGCCCTGACCGGGGATCAAACCCGCAACCTGGGTATGTGCCCTGACTGGGAATCAAACCGGAGACCTTTCAGCTCACAGGATGACACTCAACCAACTAAGTCACACTGGCCAGTGCTTCACAGATTATTTTCTTATAATTGTGGAAAAATAATGGTAATACATTTCTTTTCATTACCTTAAGCTAATTTGACTTTTTATATTGTAGAATTTTCAAATTCTCAGAGTTTTTTGGGTATTAATTGTCACTACTAACTCCAGAGCCTATAACCCACACTTTCTGATCTCATCCCCCTTTCTCCTAATTTCTGCTTTCCCAAAATCCTCTCCCATTTCTCACCAAAGGAATTTCCTTGAAGAAAAAAAAAAGCAAAAGCAAAACCAGAGGACTTTGTACCTGGTAAAGAAAAATTAAATCTCCTGCGAGAAATGACTGGCAGGTGAAGGAAACAGAAGCCTGTGAATAATGCTTCACATTCTCAATTTCTAGTCACTTTTCTGCCCTAATACATTTTTGTCTCTTTTCAACTGATGGACATCATTCACACTTAGAAAACTTCTATTAAGAACCTTCCATGTGGGATACAAAATACACACTCTGCCCTCAAAGGAAGGAGTTCAAAGTCCAGGAAGAAGAAAGTCTAACAGTTTATATGACAGAAGGAATACCTACAAGAAAAATAAAATTTCTGTGACTCCTTGAGGGGTAAAACGGTGATTAGTAAACGGCTCTCCAATTTATAAAAATAAGGCAAATTTGTCAACAATTAGGATTTGTGTTTACTTTTTAAAATTCTGGTAAAATACACGTAACATAAAATTTACCATTTTTACCATTTTAAAGTATACGATTCCGTGGCATTTAGTGTATTCACGATGTGGTGCAACCACCTTTCCAGTTCCAGAACATTTTTATCACCCCAACAAGAGCCCCGTGTGTTAAGCAGCTGCTCCTCCCTCTCTGAGGCCTGGGCAGCCACTGGTCTGCTTCTGTCCCTATGGATCTGCATTGTCCGAACAGTTCATATAAATGGAATCATATAATATGTAGCCCTTGTGTCTGGCTTCTTTCTCTCAGCATAATCTTTTTAAGGTTCCTCCATGTTGCAGCGTATATTGGTACTTCATCTTTTTTATGACTGATAATATGCCACTGCATGGATACCTCACCTTCTGTTTATCCAGTCATTCTTTTTTTTTTTTTTAAATATATCTTTATTTATTTCAGAGAGAGGAAGGGAGAGGGAGAGAGAGAGATAGAAACATCAATGATGAGAGAGTCATTGATCTGCTGCAGCCCACAACCGGGGCATGTGCCCTGACCAGGAGTCGAACCCTGATCGCCTGGATCCTAGGCCGATGCTCAGCCGCTGAGCCACGCCCGGCTGGGCTATCCAGTCATTCTTTTGGCTGTTGAATATTGCTGCTATGAATATTTGCGTATAAGTTTTGTTTGAACACTCATTTTCAATTATTTTGGAAATATAACTATTGAGTAGAATTGCTGGGTCATATGGTAATTATGTTTAACTTACTGAGGAATTGCCAAGCTGTTCCAAGCAGCTGCACCATTTTATGCACCTACCAGCAGTGTATGCGGGGTCTAATTTCTCCCCATCTTCACTAACACTTGTGTTTTCCTTTTTTATTATGGCCATCCTAGTGGGTCATGGGCTCTCGTTGTGGTTTTGATTTGCATTTCCTAAGGACTAAATGCTGTTGAGCACTTTTCATATTTGTTGGCCATGTGTACATCTTCTTTGAATAAATGTCTATGCAAGTCCTTTGCCCATTTTTTGAAATTTTGTTTTTATTGATTTGAGAGAGGAAGAGAGATGGACTGCCTCCTG